ACTCTTGGTTGCAGTAGGCATTTTTTCCTTGTCTTGTCTTACTGTTCTCATTATTTACATTTCTAATGTCCTCACGTCTTTTTAGGAAAGTCTATAAATTTCCTTTCACTATCCTCACTTCTTTTTCTTTTTGTAAATGTTTCATAATAATTAAGTTTCTTTAAATTCTTCCAGTACCTGATATAATCTATAGCCCAAAGTTCGATTTAAGATACAATGTTTACAATAGTCTTATTAACATATATGCGAATGCTACAAATACTTGATGTTATTGACCCTTCCCTATTTGAAAATTGCATAATGGATATGTTTAATTTGACAAACTATGTGTATTCTATGAATAAACAAGCATTCTGAGAGTATTGCATTAGCAATACTAGTCCCCTACCGGCAAGTGTAATCTGGTTCCCGTTAAGAATTGAAAATGCCATAATTCCGTTAAAAATTAATGAAGCGGGACGAAATTCAAACTTGTTCTATAACTAATCAAGGTAAAGCCACATACCAAAAATCAGCTCAATATCTACAAGCGTTTAGAAGAAAATTGCGGAAAACCCGTAAAAATTGAAAAGGCCGTAATTCCGTCAAAAATCAATGAAGCGGAACGAAATGCAAACTTGATCTGTAACTCATCAAGATACACTCACATACCAAAAATCAGCTCAATATCTGCAAGCGTTTAGGAAAAAAGTGCGGAAAACCAAGTGGGACAGACAGACAGACAGACGGACGGACAGACGGACGGACAGACTCAGAGGAAACCTATAGTCCCCTCCGGTTTCACCGGTAGGGGACTAATAATTAAGCGGAAATGCAGAGGAAGATAAAATATCAGCCTTAAAAGATAAATCTTAAAGAAACTGGGGGGATAAGCCGAGCCATATGCCTACATAACGATCGATAAAAAATCAATAAATTCATTCTACAAAAATTTCACTTTTTGTTGAATTAATGTAATGCTTATTACCATTTGCATACAAATTTGACAAAACCTGAATACTGTAACAGCGAAAATGATTCTGATTAACACAACAAAATGGCATCACGCTCAATTTTCACAAAAGCTGACATAAATTGGATGATATAACTACATTTTTTAAATAAAGTGGGTCATCGTACCATTTTCCTGAGAACGATTAATGAAAGACAATGGAAAGATGTTGCTTTTTACACTTGCAAAAATTTGGTATGAAGACCCACTTTACATAAAAAATTAAGTTAACTTAGTTAAATTTTCACCGTGGTCTTAAAAAATTCTAAGTCCAAATACGCTTGCTTAATATGGAGAACTGCATGCTATTTAAATGGATATGTATGTGACTCCGTGGTCTAGTGGTTAGCGAGGAGCTCTTTAAATGGACGTTTATTGAGGAAAGTGTTCGAGTCATGCTCTGATTTTTTGATATTTTTTTTTTGGGGGGGGGGGGGGTAATTTTGTTTTACTTTATAAAAATTTGTCTATAGGAATAACATATTTTTCACTGGAAATAAAATATATGTATGTAGTAATGAACTCATTTACAGTAAATTATTTAAAATGCCGGATAAAAATTATAATAGATATTTGTATACTTTTATTCCCGTTTTTATTCATTTTTACTACAAGCGCTTCTAGATCACCACTATTATTATATACAATGTTAACATTTTTATAATATCTCCACAATAAGTGTTAACACTCAATATGCAGATTAATTAATAGAAGTCCTTACCCATGTTAGACACTTGTGACAGTAAATGAAAGTCAACTGTTTAGCTTGTTTAGAATATAAATATCGTTTTGAAAACTACTGTAAACATTAAAATGCTTAAGTAAATTCGAACAATTGAGAGATTTTTTCCAAAGAATGTTCTTGCATAGCCGAACAATGGGCATGGGCACATGGCTCGTCTTATCCCTCCAGATTCTTTATAATTAAAGAGGAACAGAATTGAGTATTCATTTTTCTGTTTAGTTTCTAAACACGTTTGTTATTAATCTCTTATAGCTGCAATTTATTGTGAATGCTTCTACAACAATATCAACATCTGAAAGGGAAATCTCATACAAAAATGTTTCTGCAGGTCCAATTTTGACATTATATGAATTATATTTAACAAACAGCAAGAAAATAAGCAAGATTACCTTTATAAACTCACATCAAATATCAGTAAAAAGTATTGTTATTCTATACATTTTTCCTAACATGTATGACAAGATTTTCAGACACACAAGAACTTACTTCTTTAGCTCACCTTAGCTGAAGGCTCAAGTGAGCTTTTCTGATCAAAGAGAATCCGAGATCAGTCTTTCGTCCGTCGTCTGTGAACTTTTCACATTTTTGATTTCTTCTTAAGAAAACTGGACTAATTTCAACCAAACTTGCAACAAGGCGGGTTCCACACCTTCTTCCAAGGGGAAATAATTAAGAATTCGTGAAAATTTGGTGGCATCTTTCACAAATTTTCTTCTCAAGAACCATTTGGCAGGAAAAAGTTGAAACTTATCTGAAAGCTTCATTACATACTGTAGATTCAAGGGGTTTTTTTTTCATATCATAGCTCCCGGGGGTAGGGCGGGTCCAAAAGAGGGGGTCGAAATTTTACATGTACATAGGAATTATAGGAAATGTCTTTAAAAATCTTTTTCTCGAGAACAATAAAGCCATGATCAGTCATATTATTATAAAAGTATCCTCAGGTAGTGTGGATTCGTTTGTTCCAATCATGACCCCTTGGGGTAGGGCAGAGCCACAACAGGGTTCAAAATTTACCACAGAAATCAATAAGAAATATAAAGTACAGCTTAGCCATTATTAGTCATATTAATACAGAAGTATCCTCAGGTATTGTAGATTCAAATCTCTGGGGTAGGGCGCAGACACAACGTGGGGGGGGGGAGGAGGGGGGGGGGCAAAGTTTACATAGGAAAATATAGGTGTAATGGTTAAGGGGCATTTGCGTAAAATGCATTGAAGACTTCAAATAGTTGAATGAGTTGACAATCCTTGGAATGGACAAGCCAAGGGTGTATAGGCAAACCTTTGGAAAAGTCAGGTATTCAGAAGCTAGGAGAAGTTGGCCGTAAAAATAGCAATAAAGAAGTTAAGGGTAGGAGCAAAATAAAATTTTAAAAGTTACAAACACCAGTGGCAAGTATCCTAAGGAATCGTAGTAAATCTGAAGAAGATCGAGACATCCGGTTCTTATCTATCAATACTAACCTAGGGGAGATACACGGTGCAAGTAGTACATTATCCAGTCCCCGTCTCTAGATAAGAGATAAATTTTAGTACTGTGTAATTTACCCTCAGAAAGAGCATTCTTAATAATCATTCCAATCATTAATTCAGACAGAGTAAAATGAAAACCTATATATCCTTTTTAAGAACCTAATCATACCCGTTACATAGTTAATATCTTTAAAAATCTTCTCAAGTACAACTAAGCCATTATTAGTCATATTCAGAAGCAACCTCAATTATTGTAGAATTAAGTTTGTTCAAATTATGAACCCCAGGGTAGAGGGCACAACAGAGGGTCAAAGTTTTACAAAAGAATATATAGGAATCATCTTGAAAAAATCTTCTGCTCAAGAACAGCAAAGCCATAATAAATCTGCTCCTCATAAACAGCAAAGCCATGATTAGTCATATAATTATAGAAGCATCCTCGGTTAGTGTATATTCAAATTTGTTCAAATTTAGGGTTAGTGGGGTGGGGCCACAATAAGTGATCAGATTTTTACACGGGAATACATATGGAAAAATCTTTAAAATTCTCCTGCTCAAGTACAGCAAAGCCATGATTAGTAATATTGATATAGAAGTATCTTGAGGTAGTGTAAACTTAAGTTTGTGTACCCCCCCCCCCCCCCGTAAACTTTTCAATACTGAACTGATTTCTGCTTTTTCCTTGCCAATGTGCTCAGGTGAGCGATGCAACCCAAGAGCCTCTGGTGAAATTGTAATGCTGTTGACTCTTTCTCTTTATTACATTATTGCAATAATGCATTTTTTCGTCTTTTCGTAATCATATTTTTTAAATTGCACCTGACATTGTTTTATGGTAAAGAAAAGGGATCTTTTGTTTCTGTTTGTTTGTTTGTTTGTTTGTTTTTTCTTAATTTTTTTTAAAATGATTTGTTTCGTAGGGATCTAAACACCACAAAATCTTCAGTCGCGATTAATTATAAATTTCACAGATGATGAGTGTTTAGATCAAATTATCATCCCTCTTGTTCACTCTGTTGCTGAGAATGTTTTTGACAAAAGACCATTTGTAATTCTCTAGACTGCTTGTTAAGTTTATTTAAGTACTTATGAGTAGTGTTAATTCTTAACACTACAAACAAAAACCATAATGTCAACTGAGAGTCCCTGCAATAGCATTCTGTTCATTGCATGAAATTCAAAAATATAAAATTTTTGAAATTTATTTTGGCTAAATAACCTATCATATCTTTTAATTTTCCTTACTATAAGAGTTCTTGCATGAATACGAGTAGTGTTAAGATAGAGGAAGCATCAGGTATCCAACCCGTACAGGTAATTGTGTGCAGGTCCCTTCATATGCATTGCACTCACCACGAGACTGTTAAATATCACAATTTATTTTTTTAAAGATCTATTTACAATGCATTCCATGTGTTGAGTCTAGGAAAGCCTTAAACGATCAGTGTAGAAAAAATATACCAGCAGTACATAAATAGATGAATGCAGTTGGTTTATATATGTTTAAGAAATTTTCTAGACTTTTGACATGGAAATACATTGTAAAAACGTTATATTAAATAATTTTCTTTAAAAGTCCGGTACGTACGTTAGGGAAATGGGACGGGAGCTTATACTTTATATTCATTTTGATAAGCATGTTTATATCCAGTTTGACAATAAATGTTTTAGGTATGTTTAAGGTATTTTGATTGTCCTACTTTAAACTGATCCCTAGAGCTTTAAAATACAACAAGGAAGTTATTAAATTTAACACATATATCTATATTAAGACATTTATTTCGAAACATGGCGGAGGGGCCAGACGATTTTGACAGGTAAATAATCTTAAAAACAAATCTTTTTTATCAAATGTTCAATTTAAAAAAAAATCTAATTTGATTAAATTTACAATCAAAACAATACATTTATGTTCCTGGATGTACTGTATCTGTAAAGTACTGTAAAAAGATAACGAAATTCATTTTTATGTAATCAGATACCCAACTCAATACATCCCTTGTTAAACACAAAATTCAGACTGCATGAAATAAAGCATCGAAGCTTCTTATATTTCTTTCAGAATTAGGGAAAAGATGATAATTTTGTTGTTACTACCATGTTTAATCCGCTTATAATTCAAAAAATTTAAATTGCTGACATGTACTCCGATCAAGTTACAAGTATGATCACGTATTTGTGTCATTTAAAGTACTGTATCCGTGATAATTATGTGTAGTACATGTAAATGAATGGAGCCTATAAAAGTTTCTCAAACTTGAGAAATGAATTTCTTCAATGATGCTTTATTACCAGAACTTGGTTAAATAAGGTGTTTTGGGTCGTAATTTGTGGTAAACACAACAAAATAATGTGTTTTGAACTCTAAAATAAATATGAAGAAAAACAGCTAAAAAGAGGTATAGCGCACTTAGTATACCAAATGGCCCACAATATAGCGCGTTTGCAAACATCAAAAATATTTCAATATTTTATGATATTATTAATTCCAGTTAAGTGTGCCGTTTTGCATTACGTCACAACCTATGATGACAGCTGTGATCAAGGTATATAATACACGCCTCCTAACCGCAAACTTTATGACTGGTAGTTTCTTCTTATCCTTGATTGGTTGCTCGTGCAACAGACTATTTCCGTGTCAATGTTGATAAAATGAGTTGACCAATCAGACAGCGGCGTTGTGAATTGTTTACGCTGGGCGCATCTATCGAAAAAGATCGTGACGTAATGCGAAACGGCACACCTCACTGGAATTGATAATATTAAGTAAATCTAGCTATACGCAAATACAAATTGTGCCAGTATTTGGCAAAAATTGTCATACTTACCTCAGATTACAGCAATGAAATTTACGGATTTTGCATGGGATTATATGGAGAACTATTGAGTGAACATTTAAAAAAATACAGTAACAGATTTGTGTATTTGAAACAGATTTTGAATGGGTTACTTTCTTTTGATATCATAGTATACTGTATATCAAAATCTTTATAGTTTAACTTGGTCTTCATATTGAAAATTGTCTATATCCTCCAGTTTTCCTTTTTTCCGAAAGACTCTAACACGGGGCTATATAATTATATACACAAAAGACACGACAATTATAGAAGTTCCAAATATTTTTTTGTATTAATCATAGTTTAAGTGTTTAATGTTTAATATATTTTTTTTATTCTTTAGCTAGTTAATTTTTAATTATCATATTGTCCACATAATATACACATCAGAAATAAACTTATGGATCTATACATTATTGTTCCAACATGTCTGCTTACCATATATATCTAAATTTAACGTTACCTGGACTTTTTTTGACAATTATGGAAAGAAGGGACACATACAATAGAGAAAAGGTGGATACGTTGACGACATACGTAAGATGAAGCATCATTTCCCGAAACGAATAGTGCATGATCTCGACCTTCCATGAAAACAAAAATCTTAAAAATAGTCAAGAAAAAATTTTGATACATAAATCTGGAAAATGTCAAACAAATTAAACATTTTGAAGAGACAAATTCAGCAAGCTTCGAGCATTTCATGGAAAGTCAAAAATTTATTTTTTCAAAAGTTTTTGGTATATAATTGATGTTGCCCTACCTAATGCTCAAACACAATTTTAAAAAAATATTTTGGACATATCAAGGGACTGGTATATAAGGACATCCATTTCCTTAGTTAAGGGTTCACAAATCCTTCTGAAAATCAATGCCATTTTTTCTATGAATACGTTTTCTGTACGTTATAAGATTAGGTATCAAAATTACCCTACTTGTTGAAAGAATGAATTACCTTATTCTCGAAAAATAACAAAATCTAAATTTCTGTTCTGATATTGTTGCCATGACAGCGAGAAAAGAACATGACATCAATACTTGTTAATTTTGAAAAAAAAAAGTACATACATGTATGTTTATAACTATGATTTTATGCAAAATCTACAACCAACGCTGGAAAAATGAATATTGTGCTCTTGTTAGGGGTCATCTATATGTAATATCTATAAAATAAAATTGGTAGGCAACTTCAGTAGAAAAAAGTTATAAAAAGTCAAAATGTGTGTCAATCTGGCGTTTATAAGTTTTTGAAGGGGTGGGGGTTCACTGAATGCATATACAGTGTCCATTATATTGGTTAGATTGGTTCTTATCAAAGCTTACTCATAAATTTATTATTGTTGAGTAATAAATGTACATTGAATTTCAAAGGGAATTTTATATTCCCCACAAACGAAACTTGGAAGGGGGTGTATAGGAATCACGTTTTCCATCCATCCATATGCGCGTACAATTTTGTCTGGTTCATAGCATTTCAATGAAGAGCCATTAAAAGTTCATACTTGATATTAAGATTGCTTATGACCTGGATATGAGTCATAAACTTAACTCAACTTCATTTGAACAGGTTCAATGTCATTGATAGAAGAGAAAAGTGCAATTTGTGCCCATTCTTATAACATTCTAATGAAATAGACTTGAAAGTTTATACTTAAGTCAAGTTTTATCTATAAGCGGTGAGTTTGTCATGACCTTGACCAAAGATCATTTTGACCTTGACTCAAGGACATTTAGTTTGTTGTACTATATGTTGTTATGTTCGGTACATAACTTCGAATGAAGACATTGGATGTTTGTGCTTTACACAAAGGTTTTACTACCTATGGCTTGAGTATATGTCATAGTCATTTGAGTATGTATATGCGCACTTGCAGAAAAGGTCTTAAATTTATGTTTGGACCATATTTTTGTAATAAAAAAACATTTCATGCAATAGTTTGAAAGAATATGCTGCAGACGTTGGGAGTGGGGTATCATTTTATGAGCTTGCTCACAATAATTCTAGTTTGTTCAGGTAAGATGTGCTCAAGGTCTCGGAACTAGAGAACATGGACTCAAGGGCAAATACGAGTGAAATATCTAACATTTAACATGATCATGATCACAAAATGCATTTCAAAACATGCACACATTGATTGAAACTGGGATACTGACAATTAAACGAGAGTCACCATGACAGCTCAAATAATTAAGAAAACCATTTCAAGCAAGCATGTAGTATCAAGTTTTGGTTGGGGTGGGTGGGTAGGGGGCTGCCCCCTTACTTTTTTCCAAACATAACCTTTTACGATTGAAATGTTCACTGAAATGCTGGTAAATTTGACCTCTCCCCTCCACTTTTTATTGCAGCATAGTTAAATATGGTGATTTATATCTGGTAAATTTTATTGCTGTTAAATTTGACCTCCCCCTCCATTTTATATTGTAGCATAGTTAAATATGGTGATTTATTAATGTATTAATAAAATTTGGTTGTGAAAGGATATATATTGAAACCTACCTAAAACCACCCCATCTCCCCCACCCAAATAGTTTTTTTTTTTTTTGAGTTTGGAGAATTTCCCTAATTCTCCTTTCCTTTGTTTTTTTATTTGCTTGTCATTTTTTCTGGCTGCCCCAACCCCCTTTCAAAAACGATATTACGTGCCTGTCAAGAACAACGAATGACCATAACCTTTGGTATTGAACCTACAATATATTCTCCTGCTGTCCTAGTTTAGAAACGATAAGATCTCAGTAGCTACCTAAAATAAAAATCTGGAATGACTATGTATCTATGAATAAAACTTGAACTGACTTAAAATAAATTTCATAATCTGCTATTAAATGAAATATAAAAGCTTTGTGTTAAACTAGTCTTCTTTATTATCTGTAGCAAAATATTTTAACAAATTTGAAATTAATTGATTGTTCTTCAATGATCTTGTTCTATATTTTGAATATAAAGATGTGTTTCAAATCCATCTTCTATCTAATTATGAATCTGCAAGCCAAGAATTAATTAGTTATAAACAAAAAATTCTGACAGGCAAGCAAAGAATGTTACTTTTGGATTGAACATTTTTTATTTGATCCCTTTCATGAATACAGTATATGAGGTCTTTTTTCTGACTCCCTGAGGGTAACCACTATCCACAGACTTCCAGCGTCACTGGTCTGTACTGTAATAATGTACTCTCTGAATCTGAAGAAGTGAGAAAATTAAAAATCATATAGTTTTGCCTTTATATACTAGGCACCATTGCCAGTTGAGCTTTTTTATTTGTTTTGTTTGTTTTTAATTCTTTCAAAATTTGAATTTTAAGTTTGAAAATCAAGTGATTTGATTCACACAAATTCTTAATTTTTTTTTAATTTTTTTTTTTTTTTTTTTTTTTTTTTTTTTTTTTTTTTGTATAAACAACATAGGTGATATAATATGTTTTCCATTTTCTCTGTATTTCAAGGATTTTATACCTTCACACCCCTATCTAGCTACTTTAAACATCTAACAAATCCCATTAAAACACATTGTGGCAAGCCATGGGTTTTAATTTGTGTCCGTTCCATTTGTGGAAAATAGAATGGACACAAAACCCTTGGTTTGCGATGAGGATTAATGCAAAGCATGTTTATTGATATCAATTAATTTCAAAGAAATCTCAGTGGTTCATTGTTTTATTAAGAACAAGTTTAAGTTTTTACTACTTGTATTAACATGCTTTTTTCCTGTCTAAATCCATATCAACACATCCCAAATGTATTTGTAAGATGTGCATAGCTTTAAGTATCTAAGGTTTCCATGTACATGTACAAGTACATGTATTATGAATTGAGAGTATGAAAAATGTAAATGTAAATAAAGTGAGGCCAAAATTTTTCAAATCATAGAATAGGATGCAGGGAACAGCCCTTTCAAATCTCCATACTTAGCAAACCCATATTCAAAAATTTATAATTTTATTGCTTCACATTTTGTGGACTTAACAAAAAACAATGAATGAATATATAACAAAATTGTGCATTTTTATTTAATTTCAGAAAAAACCCGATAGGTATATTTCAAGATATTGAACATGAGATAAAATGCTGTAGCTGCGACAAGCACTTTGTTTATCCTGTATACCTACCTTGTGGTCACACGATTTGTAAATCATGCGTAAAACGTCAAAGACCAGTTGGAAAATGTTCAATATGCAAAGAAATGTTCAACGTGAAGGCACATACGTTCCCTCGTAACCCTCTTTTCGAAAGACTAGCATCTATTGTTAGATGTAGGAAATACCTCGATAAACTGAAAAGAAATCCTTATTGTAACTTTGATGATGATCATGTCGAGAATGTTTCAGCTTTAATGTATTGCGCAAATTGCAAATTAAGACTTTGTCAGACGTGTAAACATTTGCATGACAAAGTACCTGAAGCTCGGAAGCATGAGGTGTATCTTTCTGGAATTAATTTTGAAGAAAGTGAATACTTTAGCAAAATTTCAAAATGTGAATTCCACATTGGTTACGAAATTACAAAATGGTGCTCAGACTGTCGATTAACAGCATGTTCAGAATGTTGCCCGTGTGACCATCAGCTGATCGATATTTCAAAAGCAGCTAGATCTGCAGAGAGAGAAATAAAACAGATGCAGACAAGGTATAAAGAAGCCATGTCTATTGTTAAAACACAGCAGGAGAATGTGAAAGGGCATGAGAAAACCCTTGGATGGATATTAAGATATAACGTTATCAAGAGCTCAATTGGAGATGTGCATAATCAAACATTTTACCTTCTCTATGAAATAAATTTACTTCTATTATTTGGGGGAGATGCAGACAAGCTTATCGCACTACCGTGTCTATTGAAACAACAATACTTCATACAAAAAACAACAAAAAACATCCAAACGAGGCCTGTTTCTGATTTGTCGTCCAATGATCGATCGTCATTAACAGATTCCGATTCTTCAAGATCTCCTAGCTTAGAAATAAGGGACTCTCCAGAAAGGAAAGAAACGAGTAATATATATTACAACGAAGTAAGTTTTCCAAAAGAAAGGAAAGAACCAATTTTAAACATGTGACGAAAATGCTCGTGAAAATGTATACAACAACAAAGTATAAAATGAAAATGAAGATAAAGGTTAAATGACTCAATTGAATTTCTTTTCAACGTTAAAAAAGTGATTCAAGAGGTAGATATTATTTTATTGCGTTTGTTACTGTCTAGGAATATTTAATATCACTAAAAATTACAGGTTTGGAGTGAGATCGGAAAGATAATTATGAAAAAATAAATGTGTCAAGTTCTGAATAGTAAAAAAGCCATTTCTTAATAGATATCAAATAAAATGCTCTGTCTTACTCATGGTTTGTTCTTGCAGGAGGATTATGCAGACACCTCGGTATATATGAGGAATCCGACTAACAAGGATACAAAAGAAATCACTAAAAAGATTTGTCAGTTTGATACGGAATCAAGAATTACAGGTTAATCCAAATTTCTTGAATTATGTCATTTTTAAGACAAACCAAAATTTCTCTCATTTTAACAGAATACAATATATTTTTTTAAATAAAAAAAATAGAAAAACCAAGTCCAAATAATTAAGAATACCATACGAGTCCAAATATTAGATTTACTGATACTTTCACAAGTGCTTAGCATATAAAAGTGAAAATTATAAAATCAAAAACACATTATGTATTTCGTTTCAAACAATGCATTAATTTTTTTCTTCCCTTTTCTTTCGCTCTTATCAGCTGCCAATTTATCAAACTTCTCAGAGACAATATTGCGAGTGAATAAAGGTCCCCAAGAAAGACTCTAAAGAATAAAAAGTCAAAAACACGAAAAATTTTAATTTTACTCAATTCAACCATATTAACTGTTATTTTATCGTTAAAATATGGGAGAAAATAATTATTATTACACAAAGAGGAAAGTTTGTACTATAGCTATTATTTTAACCCTATGAAAATCACACTTGATATATTTACAGTGTGAAAATAGAAGCTTTATTTAAAGGATTAAATTACGGTAGTTCACTGTTGAAATGCTCAGAATGTTTTCCTAAATGGAACAGATTTTGAAAAAGAAATATTCTCGAGTGCGAAACACAAGTATATATATATTTTTTTAATTGCTACTTTTACGAGTGAAATTAATTCCATATAAAATTGCAAGACATTTTCTGTTAAAATATGTTCTTTGTTTTTCCTTAAAACATTAAAACTGATTATTAAATTTTCAACGATAAGATACTGAAATGTATCTATTGATATTTTCAGGGACATCTGTTACTTTAATACTGTAAAAAAAATGTGTCATTTAAAAAAGTTTGAAAATATCAACCGGAACTACTTAGGATATTTAACAGGGTAAAAAACGACGAAATGTTATATGATCCACAAACGAAGTTTGGGACATATTGCTTTTACTCTGATTATTATTATTAAGGTCTTCCGTCTTAGCGGAGGACCATATAGAGATTCTACTGTTTCTTATTATTATAGTCTTCAAAAAAAATGAAACGCAGAGCAAAATTTTAGTGACACATTGCAAATAAAGATTCTCGAGTGAAATGATACATTGTTATAAAAATAAGATAAACAATAGGTCCATAATCTAAATGTCATGATTACTCAAAGAATGTACAATCATAGACAGTTTGAGGTCATTAAAGATCAATACCTGGTACGTCCCAACACTAACATCAATGATAAACCAATAAAAGGAGAAGATAACAAACAGTGATCGATCTCAAAAAAATCCACAAACAATACAAATATGTGAAGAGGGCATAAAACACAGACCCCTTGAATTTCCAGAGATGAGATCAGGTGACTACGAAGAGTAAGTAAATGATACCCAATGTACGCAAATGAGTGTATTAAAACTGTATCAGAATACTATCCCACTTTGATCAGTTGTTGCTGGGGATGCGATTGTGTTTGGTGGATATGCCTATCCATTTTGTCCAGTGCATGCACATTGGGGTTTAAATCTGGGGATTTAGATGGCATAGGCAGACAGGATGTTGTGGCTTTGCAAGAATGCGATTACCAAATGATTGTCAAATATGGCTGTATATTGTCATATTGAAATACGGCTCCAGGATGCTGCATTATTGGAAGGCATGTGCTGGTAGGACATCGTTAGCGTACATTTTTTTTTCGTCAAAGTCCTTTAAACATGAGCCAAAGCAGTCTGACTTGTATATAATGCAAGGATAAATAATGTTGTAGGCGACGGCATTGTGAAAGATTGATGAAAATAACGCAAACAACTGAAGCAATCCTGAACTGCTGATGTTACGCGTGCTTTGCCATAATTCTTGGTGATCATTTGTTGTACCATGCTGTTTGTATCTGTTTCATAGCTTAAATACACGTATCATGCTTTGTGCAATTTTAAAAGCTCTTGCAATTGTACACTTATGCCACACATGCTTAAAAGCGCCCAATTTCTTTTTTGCAATATGCAACATTCAGATGCAACATTTTGTTTGACAAAATTATTTTACTTTATTCAGGATATTATTCCTATTATGCGGTTTTTTTTTATAGCCGACACGGTAGCTGAGTCAGTAGAGCGCTCGCTCCGTGATCGGAAGGTCATGTATTCGAATCCCGGCTGCGACTGACATAAGTCGATAAAAAAAATAGGTAGCAACTGTTCCTTCGCCATACACTGGGCACTTTGGAGTGAAAGTTAAGGAATTAAACCTTAAAAACCAATTGCAAGGCCCCGTGTCACGGTGGGCGTTGGCACGATAAAGAACCCTTACTGCTCAATGCCCTGAGTGCCGAGTAAAGGTCTAAATTTGAAGCCCTTCACTGGTATATGGTGACGTCTCTGTATGAGTGAAAAATTTCGAACCTGAAAACAACATACATTCAACCAATCAATCAATCATTTTGGCAGTATATTATTATTATATTTTTTTAACCTTTTCAAATCGCAATATCTAATCATAACCAGTGAAATTCAGCCATATTTTTAGGACTGATGAATTCTCTCATACTATTTTGAAATATTAAAAAAAGTTTGGAAAATTCACTTCCAGTCAGGAAGTATTACTCTTTTCATTTTTTTTTACTTAAAATCTTGTCCGTGAATATTCTCAGAAAGTGTTGAAGATAGGAGCCCGAAACTTTTAGGTATGATAGAATGTGATTTGAAAATGTGAAATAAAAACATTTCGTGTATCGTCACCACTTCCGGTCTTCACAGGATGTGATTTTAAAAAGTTAATTTTTTGAACTTTTTTTCTTTTTCATTATTTTTCTTTGATATTTATAGGGTTAATAGATTGCCTTATCAGAATGTTTGACACACACACACACACACCCTCACACACACACACACACACACACACCCTCACACACACACACACACACACACATCCTCCCTCACACACACACACACACCCTCACACACACACACACACATACACACACACACACACACACACACACACACATATATATATATATATATATATATATATATATATATATATATATATATATATATATATATATATATATATATATATATATATATTAACGTATACTCCAGATATTTATCATTTTTCACTTTGAAGCGAAAAAGACTTTTGGTAGATTCCATTTACTTGCAATCAGTTGTTAAGATTAAACATAAGGTATTTGTATGAGGAGAACAATATCAAATTAACAATAAAACATTCTATCTATTATTTGAAGTTTACGATCATAAAAATAATCAAAGGATATATGAATCTGTGGGAGATTTTTTTTTTCAAATTCACATCATGCCCTAATGCATAAACAGATAAAGGTAACTTGTGCGATCGGACAAGTGTTTGTGGAGACTGACTTGTCTGAACACAAAATGAACGGGACACAGACAATCAGACAAACGTAAATGTTGAACCCTGGATTAGTGTGTTGGATTTTTACATGGACGACCTGGGTTCAATCCCCAGAATGTCTGAATTTTTTCCCCTTTTTTCCAGCTCAAATGCATATTTATCTTCAAAATCATGTCTCATATTTTTCCCGCTACTACTTTGCTATATTTTCACAGTATAAACGTTTAATTATATTTTATTATGAAGGTGTTAGAGGGAATGCACAATGTAACAATTCCTGTGTTATGAGTAAGGAATCAACTTCTTTGTTGACAGAGAATGGATGAGTGACCTTGTTGCCATGGCAACAAGGTTTCCAGTTATGTCCTCCAAAAGAAGTTCGAGAACATATTGTTTTTACTTTATTGTTTTTTCTTCTTCTTCTAAATGTCTAAGCTTTTTAACGAAAGGAAACGGAATAATTCAGTGTACGAAAATAAAAAAATAATATTAATGAAAATAAAAAATAATATTAATCGTCTACACAAGATGACATGGTCAAATTAGCTGGAACCAACGTGCATGCTCGTGCACTCCACTCGGATTGGCTGATACAAAAATCACACTACCTTGCTTTTTGACAAAATACTTTGAAGTTTAAAATATAAGTATATATTATAAGGTTCTACAACTAGCTATATAAGAAATTTCTTGAAAACACGCGCATGACAAGTGCTCCAATTTGACTGAATGAACTTTAAATGGCTTTAACTCCCATGATTTTCAACAAAACAGGATCAAATTTATAATATACATGGGCATAATGGATTCCTACATTATATTATTATCAAAATTGGATGCAAGGCTATGCTTGCGCGTGTGCTGAATTGTGATTTGCTTATACTTAAATTGTTACATCTCTCTTCTATTTCAATGAAATTGTTTAATTTTCAACACAAATGTATATATTATGAGACACTATCAGAAAATATATATGAAAAATGTAGAAAACACGTGCAGGCATATGCGCTGAATTTTGATTGGCTAATACCTATACTGCTACATCGAAGTAGTTCTCCATAAGAATACTCTTGAAAATAAAGTATATATCTATAACACAAAAGTAATGCCTAATGTAATAATGCATGTAGGAAATGGGCACCATATGGGATTGCGGAGCCATTTGGTAACATCGGTAACGGCTCCCGTTACAATTAGCACTAGTTTTAGTTGTTTTATTTCAATTGTGAGGATGTTTCTTTTAATTTCTCTCACGCTTTGCACTTGTGAAAATACAAAAAAATATCCTCTCCCTCTCGTCAAAGAAATTATGATTCAAACTTTAAACATTGTATATTTTTTTCTAATTATTTTTATCGTTCTCACCTTTAGAGAGTGTTATTTCTCATTGAATAATTTGATCAATATCTCAGGATTTAGGTTCAAATAAATGTTTGAAATTTGTAGGAATGATTGTGTTGGGTGATATCATCGTTATAGCAAGTCAAAGTGCTGGAGAGTGTACAGGATATGGAACACAAGGAGACCGGATGTGGAGAATCAGTGAAAAACTAGACGGACCATTTGACTTAGACTCGTACCAAGCAAACAATGACAAACAATTGCTCTTTATTTCTGACCCCGGGAAAAGAGGTGATCTCTCTCTCTCTCTCTCTCTCTCTCTCTCTCTCTCTCTCTCTCTGAACCAAACGAATCACTGCAGTTAAATTAATATTTTTCTTTATCTTTGTCAGAGGAATCTGCAAGTGCAGTAAGAGTATATAAACAAGGGAAAAACAACAGATATACCTATTTAACGTGTTTTACAAAAGAATGCATTCGCCCTAAAGGAATTTCTGCATTTGCTGGAAGAGTGTACCTCTGTGAGCCTCAGAGGAAAGAAGTCACAGAATATCAGATATGCGATAATTTTACCGGAAAAATTGTAAAAAGATATAATGAAGAAGGAATGCTTAAGGAACCAATGTACATTACAGCCCAAGTTGTAAATGATCGATTATTTTTGTTGGTGTCTGATAAACATATGGGTCTGAAACGATTGCTTAAAGGGGAGGAGGGAAACACACATTCAGGATGGTCAGTTACCAAGGAAAAAATATTCACCCCTTCAAAGTGTTTTGTCAACGAAAGTACAAGCAATAAGGAAGTGATTGTTGGCAATACGACCGGACGAAAGTTACACCTCATAAACTTTGAACCTCGTCAGATTAGCCATAAAGATTACAACTTGGATGATTCCTGTAGTGGTCCCGTTGCAGTCTTAATGAATGAACAAGGCCAGGTTGTAGTAGGTTGTAAAGATGGGACTGTTACTATTTTTGAAGTGGTCGAAGTGAAGGAAATGAGAAGTATTAACTCGACTGCAGCGGACGATGGAGAAAATATATATGAACTCGGATAAATACATATACATGTATAAGAACAGTCCACATGTATTTTTGTATGTCATAACTATGTATGAAATTGGTGTTCAATACACTTTTTAATGAGATGATGATGATTAATTTTAAAGACTTGATAATTTTGATACATTTATTATATACCCAACAGTTTGTCACTCAATTTTACTGTTGAATTTATGCAATCACGTGACAGTGTGATCCGACGTTCCGGATCATCACAATGTGGTTTTCTGAATCCATATCACCTCTCTCTGAAACTGATGACGTAGTACACAGATAAATGACGTTTTTATTCATGCGCATCAAAAAGTTCCTTGACAAAATGGTTTGTTTAATGTATAGAAGTTATGTATTTGATCCAAAAAGTTTCCTTTTATTATAGTTTGTTAGTTGTAAAGGGGTATATAATAAATTTATCATTATAACAGTAACTTGATCCGAAGCGTCGAGTTTGATCTGATGATCCGCACCTGTCAACGAGACGTGATAGGGCTCTTCGGATCAAGTTACTGTTATAATAATATATATTACAGATATCAGTTATCATTGTACATGATATGCATTGATAGAATGAATATTAAAGTGTACAATTTCAGTTTGTAAAATTTATTGATTTTTTTTGGTAATTTTCTATGCTAATGTATTAAATATTTATCCCATGTTTACCCCTTGTATCCCATGGATATAACTCATGGGAAATTTTTTCATATCCCACTGATAGACGTCACAATGGGTTTTGCGTGAGAGTGATTAGTGGAACGAAATGGATTCCTATATAAAACAGTGTAAAATATTGATGGTGATGTATAAAACATAGCATATAAAGAATCTCCCATGATTTGTAGTTAGATATTATTTTTATCCAACTCGTTGTGTGTTTTTATTCCCTCGCCAAAGTACGGGAATAAAAAAAACACACACAACTCGTTGGATAAAAATCACATCCAACAACAAATCATGGGAAATCCTATATATAACCAATTAAATAATTCTGGTTATTTACTTAAAAGCTATGGATTAATTGTTCTGTTCAAACAGAATAAAGAAACAATGTAATAAACCCAGTCTCTTCATATTGTTTCAACCAGTAAGCTTCCACTGTAATGAATTGCAAAGACAACAATCATGATTCGATAAACCAAAAAATGTTGAGAAAATTGAAAATTCAAATCAAATCTATTGTTCCTTTTTTACATGAATTTACCTCTGCATTACGTTTTGATACTGTTTGCAATTTCATACTTTTTACATCAGTTTTAGTGGACCCAGTTTCTTTTATGAATCCCGTGGTCTGAATTAAATTCTATTGCATTTTTTTTTCATCTGAATTTTTAATTACCAATTTACCATCATTATGTATCCTTTCGAGATACAACCAGTTAAATATTTAAAAGTTTTTTAAGTGGTGTGAAATAAGTAAACTTACTAGTCTTTGACATTTTAGTTTGAATAAGTTATGATTACATGTAGGTTATTCTAGCTAAGTCGATGCTATAGTAACCTAGGTTTATAGTGCACATGACTCATCTTACGTTTTAACTCGGCTTAGGTGATCTAAGGATCAGCGACTTAATTGAACTTATCTAGCTACATGTGTGCAACTAGCCAATAGAGTCCTATATTAAGAAACTAACAACTTATTTTGTTTGTGTTCATTTCAATGAACTAAAGTATTCAAAAGACAAATGTAAAATTTGATGGAGTAAAAAAAAAAGAATAGTGAGGATAGAGTGAATTTTTAAACCTTATCTATCATTATTATTTACATCATTTATGACCATAAATAATGCAAAGAGAGAGAGGCAGAGAGAGACGATCTACATCTGCTGAGTTATCTTTAATGAAGAAAAGAAGTAATTTTTTAACATATTCTGATATAATTCAAATTTTATTTAGAGCACTTTCTTAGCACATTGCATATATTTAAATCAACATTGAAAATTCCATATATTTAATTAAAAAAATTAATTAATTATAAAATAAAATAAAATAATAGTAATCAATCTCAAAAATCCAATTTAACAAAAGAAAATGGATGCAGAGCAAACTCAGGACCACTGTCACATCGGCCTTGAGCCCCGGCTTTGTTTTGTCGGGGGAAACGGAATAGTCCGTAGACTAATAATCTTTTAAACAAAATGAATCTCCAAGAGTTTTCGCTACTTTTACGATTTTGCTGCATGCAAGATTTAAAATCATTGAGGAAAGTGGTATGACTCCTGCTAAACCATTAATCTAATTTATATAGATCTGCACAAGTTTTACTCCAACTGTAATTTTCTCTCTCGGGAGTACTAAAGAACATCCAATCATAGTAGCTGTCATAAGGTCGCCAGTCTAAAAGTCATAAAAAAATTCAATACAGCGTTACAATACAGACACCAGAATGGCTTTCTCCTTTTCACATACAGTCAAACCTCGTTATCTCGAACTCAATGGGACCAAGAAAATACTTCTAGATATCCAAAGATTCGAGATGTCAAGTGTAAAATACTTTAAGAATAAGTGGTTGGGACTTCCAAATCACTTCGACATATCCATGGTATTCGGGATATCAGTGTTCGATGTACCGAGGTTCAACTGTATCTCAGATTATGAGGCGCTGAAGCACATCCCAGATGGATCATATCGGGTTTACCTGTTTTTAACATGAACAGTATATTACATGTCCTCTTAATTCAGATATAACAACATTCACTTTTACAAGCGATATTTCCCCTTGCTTGATTAATCTTGGATGAACCGATTTTTCCCCTTTAACATTACCAAATTTACGTAACAATGTATAACAAATGAAATATGTATTCCACCATATTTCAAGTTGAAGTCCACATCTTATGTTTCTGACAAATATACATCGACAATTGCTTCCAAACTTTTTAATTACAAAAATGCCTAGGTATCGAGCATCTGAAAAATTATCCTCCAGCGTATTCATGTTCTTCTTCGTCTTACAACTATAGTCCTGCTGGCCACGTCATCACTGGAGACCTAATTATAATTCATTATGAGGTCCTTAAATCACTTAGTATAAAATAGCCAAAATATAAGGAACCTCCATCTTTCAAATGGCGTCATAATTTCATAAATATTATGATTTCTGTGGACGATTTCGCCAGGGAATGGGCCAAATATGAAAAAGAAGACATTGACACTTTGTCAGAATGCATTAAATGTATCAGATGGATCTTGAAATCGCGCATTAAGCGATTGAGGGGCTACATGAATTCATCTATCCTTCTGTCTTTGGCAATCCAGAAGTGAAACAAGAATTACATAGATAGCATGATCAGTATGTACTGGTCCCCGCTGACAAAGCAGGTTACAACATTGCCTATGTTTGTGAGACTCATTTTTGAATTGTATTTTAGAGAAACTAAGATTTAATTCTGCAAGTGGTAATCCAACTTATATCCATAGCTCCCTTTCTAAGGAGGAAATTCTTCAAAATCATATTTCAGTTTTAATTATTTTTAATATTCCCAACAATCAAAATTAATATGAATTACCATACCTAATACTGGATTCCAAAACTTCTTACAAATCCTAACAAACAAAGATACATTGCGGGTTCCAGTAAATGTTCTACCAAGCCTCTTTCTTCACTCCGCACTAAGTCTTAGTCATTTGCAAAATTATTTTGTTAAAAACATCCTGTTTGTACACACAAGTACTCTGAAGTTGATTTTAAAAGATGCTTGAGTTTCAATATCTATATAGTTTTTGGAGATAGGTAATCCAACGATCTGTTGGAATTCCCAAAGGGAACCAATTGCGCCCCGTTATTAGCAGGCCTGTTTTTGTATTCATATAAAGCAGAATTTAATCACAAACTTCTACATGGGAAGAAGAAATTTCTTGCTCTGGCCTTCAACTCGACATTTAGATGTATCGACGACGTATTATCAATTAACAATAGTTACTTCCATTCATATGTCGACTCGATATATCCCAGTGGACTTGAAATAACAGATACCACATATAAACATTTGTTTTAATTCATGGATATTTTACTAGAAAAAGACGTTAATTGTCACTTATCAACCAAACTTTATGATAAAGTGATGACTTTATCTTTTCAATCGTCAACCTTCCTTACTTATGTAACAATATATCATTATCACCTGCGGATGGGGTTTATCTCTCTCAGTTGATTCCATTCTCAAGAGCATCCTCTACGTGCCAACAATTTCTAAAACGAAGCAAGCTATTGAGAAACAAATTGATGAAACAAGAAAATCAACAGTCTCGTTTAAAGTCACCATTTCGCAAGATCTATGGTCGATACAATCTTTCATTAAATCAAATGCTGACTGACGTTTTTCATACTTACAGTTAGGCTATTATTTATACGTTGAATTTCCTAGGAATTTTCCGTTTTTCTCGATCATGACAAGGAGCACACGGCGTGTGGGACTGGTCGTCACGTGATGCTCACTCCTCCATGGCACCTGATCCCACCCCTGTTGTTTTAGAGGTCCGTGTTTGCTCTGCTCCTGATTTGTATTGTTTGGATGGACTTTTGAGCTTGAATACTGTTCGTTATTTTCATTTTTCATCTTTGTTTAAGTAGAAAATAGGTTTTGTTTGCAATGAGGTTAAAATTGACTACCTTGTATGTATGATAGCACATTTCTGCAATATATTTTATTAGAATGGAAAATATTTATCTCTACAAAAAATGTTTTGCCATAATTTGATTTTGGTTGTAACACGCCATTCGATTGCATAAAAATTTACTTTATATCGTATAAATTGTGTTGCCTACATGATAACGACTTGCGTCAAAAACATATTGATCCGCCTGACGTTACATTTAAATTTTGTACAATTTGAAGTCATTTATAAGAACAATCGTCTTATTTACTTATACTTAATGCATGAAAAAATTAAATTAGAAGGAATGAATTTAAAGGTACCCGATTTATTCTGTATAAACTGTGTTGGAACAGTTTACACATCTTTAGAAAAGCTTCGCGCTTTATTAAGCGTAAACTGTCTTAACCCAGTTTATACTGTATATTGATTGATTAATTGTATGTTGTTTAACGTCCCATTCGAGAATTTTTCACTTACACATATACCGGTGAAGGGCTTCAATTTTTGACCTTTAATCGGCACTCAGGGCCATTGAGCAGTGAGGGATCTTTATCGTGCCAACGCCTGCCGTGACACCGGGCCTCGGTTTTTAAGGTCTCATCCGAAGGACCCGCGACTTTCACTTCAAAGTGCCGAGCGCATGGCGAACATTTGCGACCCATTTTTTATCGACTTAGGTCAGTCGCGGCCGAGATTCGAACCGTATAAATTTGATACCTATAAAATTCATTTCTTAATTAATTTATTTAATTTTCTAGAGTGTTTATATGTTGATTAATATACAATTAACTAATTATGCATAAATGAAAAAAAAAATGTTGCAATTTGTTTAAGGTTTATGACAATTTGACTGGACTAATTCAAACAGCTTATAAATACTGAAACTGTGCAGTCTGTCTACATATTTGAAGTTGGATTGTTTGAAGGATTTTCCAGATTTTTTTTTTACATGAAAAAACATTGTTAATGTGCCAATTATACCTATTACGACCCTTCTTATTCAACTTTAAATCAAAGTATTGATGAGCATTTATATGTATGTATATTTTGCAAATAAATGTTTCCTTGTATTATGAGTTCAACATTTACGCGTACGACAATATTCTTCTACATGTAATAAGGAAATAGACATACAAAATATTGAATCACTTGTAGTGAATTAAAGTGTACCTACTAAATACTAGAATCAACCATCACCAAATGAAACATGGCAAAGAGGCTCCACGACTCAGAAAGGTAGGGTATCTTTTTTTGGTCGTAATTGCGCTTTTGTCATAATTTACACTTTTAAACAAATCTTTCTCATTTGTCTATTTTATTTTATCTTTAAGATGTATATGTCAAATAATATTTAGATCAGTATTTTATGCTTGGAAGTTCTGTGTATAAATATGTGTTATACTAAATATGATATATAATAAAACACACCTTTACATGTAGCGAACACAATAAATTGAGGCCTACAACATAGTGATTTTCATTCCCCGAGGCTTCAAATACATTGTGTGGTTAACGGATACAACAAATTACTTTTATAATAGAAGAAAAATTGTCCGCCCCTGGCACTTCATTTGTGTGTTTTTCTGTAACCATATGTATTATTCATTTTATCATAGAACCAAAGACCACACATCCTTTATTAATTTCAGAATTGAAAATGACCTTTAATAGATGTAATCTCTTATGTTCTGTATTAAAACCTCCCATATATACTCCAAAATTAGAAGGAATGATTTCTGTTCTTTGCCAAACCTATATCTAGGCCATATAACATATACATAATTTGTATCGTTTAATAGAAAATGGACAAGTAACTTCAATTTAATTGCGTGCAAATTATTTTCATGAATTCCAAAATTAGGGCACCGAAAGATTGAGTCAAAAGACTGATATACTTTGCAGAGATGTGGATTTTCCATACTGCACTGATCAAAGGTTTAAAATAAAATGATTTCCTGTTGCTATGGACCGGAAATTTTAAAATCTATTATTTTGATATCTCTAGTTTAAACACAATTTATTTATTATTTTCTTTTTTTAAAAAAACCCCAGAGGAAGTACTTCAAATCTACTCATCAAGTAAATGTAAGGGATATAATATGAAGATGGTCTCTGATGTCAGATAGTGGGATTGAGAGAAGCAACGATTCTGAGTCCCGTATCTGACATCAGAGATCATCAGAGTTTTGTATCTTACTTAAATTACTTTTCAATTTCTAATATAAAACAATAAGTGCACTGTTTGTATAGGTTAGTTTATTTCATAAAACGATACTGGCAACGGCGGCCAAAGCACATACATACCGTGCTCAGGGGCATAACAAAGACATTTTCCTTAGAAGGTGAATAATTTTTAAATGAAAAATCAAGTATTGAACCAAAATCCCAAACACTTAGTATTTATTTTAAGAATAAAAGTATTCTCTTTGTTACGTGGGAAATTAAAATTGCTACTTTTGCAGAAAAAAATACATAATCTGCATAAGCAGATTAGGGAAGTCAGATAGTGCATCACAAAAACGATATAAATATAAGATAATAAATTATGAAATTTAAAAAAAAAACCTAAATTACAAAACAAAAAAACAACATGTATATTACAAATTAAAAAAAATCAGTAACTACATTGTAATTGAAAAATAAAAATACAAAAGAAAAAATAACCAAAACTAAATATATTATAAATTAAAAAAACCATCGAAATATAAACCCAAAAACTAATTAAATAAAACAAGAAATAAAATACGGAATTTAAAAGTGTGTCGTAAGGACATTTTTATTCCTAAAATGGTTTCATCTTTTTTCTAAAAGAGTCATATAGATTTAATTTCCAAGCTGGTGTAATTTTTTTTTTTCTTAACCTAGATTTATTAGACGACTTCAAATGTTTTACAACCTTTCTTTTTGCAATATTTCTCATGGGTCTAATATTTCCATTTCGGGGTTAAGAGATGTGGAGGAGTTATGAATTATGTATTATGCATGTCTATGTATAACACAAAGTTAGTCGAATAGAAATCAAAAAAAGGGGACAGGATACAACCTTCCTAAGCTTATACTTATCAGTCCTAGAATAAAATTTGTACTATCTTGTATCATTTTTGTGAACTTTGAAACCTCGGTTAATGATTATCTAACAAAACATGCATTTTCCTTTTATTTTAGAAGAAAACCGAAAGATACATTTCAAGAAATTGAACATGAGATAAAATGCTGTAGCTGCGACAAACGATTCATTTATCCTGTATACCTACCTTGTGGCCACACAATATGTAAATCATGCGTAGAAAGTCAAAAACCATTTGGAAAGTGTTTAATATGCAAGGAAATGTTCAACGTAAAAGCACATACGTTTCCACGTAACCCTTTATTCGAAAGACTAGCATCTATTGTTCGGTGTAGAAAATACCTCGATAAACTGAAAAGAAATCCTTATTGTAACTTTGATGATGATCATGTCAAACACGTTTCTGCTTTAATGTATTGTGCTATATGCAAACTAAGAATTTGCAAGAAGTGTAAAATATTGCATGATAAAGTACCCGAAGCTCAAAAACATGAGGTGTATCTTTCTGGAAGTACCTTACAAGAAAGTGAATATTCGAGTAAAAATACTAAATGTGAATTCCACATTGATCACAAAATTACAAAATGGTGTTCTGACTGCCAATTAACCGCTTGTTCAAATTGTTGTCCATGTGACCATAAGCTAATCGATATTTCAAAAGCAGCTAGATCTGCAGAGAGAGAAATAAGACAGATACAGACAAGGTATAAAGAAGCCATGTCTATTGTTAAAACACAGCAGGAGAATGTGAGAGGGCATGAGAAAACCCTTGGATGGATATTAAGATATAATATTATCAAAAACTCAATTGGAGATGTGCATAATCAAACATTTTACCTCCTCTATGAAATAAATTTACTTCTATCGTTTGGCGGAGACGCAGAAAAGCTTCTAGCACTACCATATCTGGTGAAGCAACAAAAGTCTATACAGAAAACGACAGAAAATATCCGAACGAGGCCTGCCTCTGATTCTTCGTCCAATGATCGGTCCTCATTTGTAGATTCTGATTCTTCAAGGTCTGCTAGCTCAGAATTAATTGGCTCCCAAGAGAGGAAAGAAATGAGTAACATTTATTACAATGAAGGAGAGTTTCAGCTAAGTCGACAACTGGAAAAGAGGAAAGCTCGAATTGTGACCGATGAAGAAAATTCACTTGAAAATATATATTGCAACGAGGTATATTTCACGGAAAATTGAAAAATATGTTTTTATTAAGTCTCTTAAAGTGTTAATGTGTAGAGATTCAATAGCTGATCGTCGTTTTTTTTATTCTGCCTTATAATATGTGCACAACTGAAAAATTTTATGTTGTCTGAAAGGGGCATGGCCACAGATTTGCAGTTAATATTTTCTCAAATTTACAGTATAATATTATGACTAATATGTTGCTATAACATTTCACAAGGAAATTTGATAAAAGCGTTTTCAAAAAGTTCTCTTATCTGGAAATTAATTTCGGGCCGCGTTTGATTGACACATCCTTGCACTTTCAAAAAGTAAACTTAATCCTCAATCTTAAGAAAAGTAGAAATTTTGCTGTGTGTTAATGAAAATTATTGGAATTATAGTCCAGAAAATTCAGATTAGAAATGCGAGAAAGCAAAGTCAACTCACCAGTATTATCAGTCCGTCCGTGCTCAGTGATGTGTGCAGAGTGTAACAAATTGAACACACCCGGTGATACTTAAGCATTAACAATAACAGAGCTCGTGTCCTGTTTACAAAACAGTTTGACGTGATTTAAAGATGTAGGACGTTGTCATTGAATTCTAAGAATATTCATGCAAGTTCAATTCATTTAACTGGTTTTATTTTTTTGAATAAACATAGAAATTTAAAATGTAAACAATGCAACTGTGTTCAGGTCCCATTAATCCTTCAGTAAATATTTTATGTTCTGAATAATTAGTGTAAAAATCTCAACAGAAAATCCAGAAATATAGATTAAAGTTTGCTTTAATCGTGCACTGTTTTTGCAGGAATCTTATGAAGAAACCTTGGTACAGATGCGGAATCCGACTAACAAGGATACAAAAGAAATCACTGAAAAGATTTGTCAGTTTGATACGGAAACAAGAATCACTGGTTAATCGAACAAATCTTGAATATATTTAAGGATTAACTGTCTGCTCACTTGATTGGAATAAATTATCGTGACAATTTTCTGACTAAAAATGATATAAAATCTCCATTCAAGTCATTTTAGTAGACCATATGAAGCGAAATGCTAGATTTATGTTATTCGCATCATTGTTGAAGGTAAGGAATTTGAGAAGAATTATTTCCTTTTTATCAATATTATTTTCTCTTTTTTAATAGCACATACTATTCTAAAAAAAATATGTCGTAGTTTTCTATACAACAGGAAGTTAAACACATCAAAGTTATCAAGAAATGTTCATATAAATCCAGCGTATTTTAAATATTTTAAATGTATGTTTAAAACGATTGTATATAGAAAAGATACTTGAGGCATCAATTGAAGTGGGTCATTTTCTGAGATACACTGGAATTCCAAAACAATGCAAATATACCATAAATACATGAAATACAATATCAGGAACATCTATAACAATATTTTTGGAAGGGGAGATTTCAACTTTTTTATTTTAATTTTTTTTTTCTTTAAATTATTTTTTTATATAGATATGAAAGTATAGTTTTGGGAGATTATATGAAATGGTGGTTTGTTAATAAAACTTAAAGATTAATTTGAGTAATTTAGTAATAATAAATGAGTACAAACTCTTTTACAAATTTATAAAATAAATTTTAAGTATTCTATGCCCTAAAGTTCTTTTTTAAAAGGAAGAATTTGATACATTTACCTATCAAATTAATGATTTGGAATTTATAGGAATGATAGTGTTGGGTGATATCATCGTTATAGCCAGTCAAAGTGCTGGAGAGTGTACAGGATATGGAACACAAGGAGACCGAATGTGGAAAATCAGTGAAAAATTAGACGGACCATTTGACTTAGACTCATACAAAGATAGCAATGACAAACATCTGCTCTTTATTTCTGATCCTGGGAAAAGAGGTAACTCTCTCTCTCTCTCTCTCTCTCTCTCTCTCTCTCTCTCTCTCTCAGTACAAATCTCTGTAATTAAGATTACTTTTTCCTTATCTTTTGTAGAGGAATCAGTAAGTGCAGTCAGAGTATATAAACGAGGAAAAAACAACAGATACACCTATTTAACGTGTTTTACAAAAGAATGCATTCGCCCTAAAGGAATTTGTGCGTTTGCTGGGAGAGTGTACCTCTGTGAGCCTCAGAGTAAAGAAGTCACAGAATATCAGATATGCGATAATTTTACCGGAAAAATTGTAAGAAGATATAATGAAAAAGGAATGCTTAAGGAACCAATGTACATTACAGCCCAAGTTATTCATGATAGAATGTTTTTGCTGGTTTCTGATAAACACATGGGACTAAAGCGATTGCTTAAAGGGGAGGAGAATAACATAAATCCAGGTTGGTCAGTTACCAAAGAAGACACATTTACTCCTTCAAAGTGTTTTGTCAACGAAAATAAAAACAATAAGGAAGTGTTTGTCGGTAATACTACCGGAAGAAAGTTACACCTCATAAACTTTGAACCTCGTCAAATTAGCCATACAGATTATGATTTGGACGATTCCTGTAGTGGTCCCATAGCAGTCTTAATGAATGAAAACAGCCAGATGATAGTAGGTTGCAAAGATGGAACTGTTATTATCTTTGAAGTCGTTGAAGTGAAAGAAATGAAAAGTATTAAATCATCTACAGCGAATGATGAGGAAAATTTATATGAACCTTTGACAACTGTTTCTTGGCCAAGCGCTAAGAACTTTGAAGTGAAAGTCAAGGGTCTTTCGGATGGAACCTTAAATACTGAGGGAGGCGTTGACACGATCCCTCACTCCTCAACGGCCTTTAGTGTCGAATAAAGGTCTTAATTTGAAGCCCTTCGTCGGTATATGGTGACGTCTTTATATGATTGAAAAATTCTCGATTTCACGTAAAACATCATAAAATCAATCAATCAGTCACATTTTCTTTCCTTTGCTCCAAGCACATAAATTGTTTAAAGGACCCTCAGTAATCTATAGCAATCAAGGGAATATGGCAAGATTTGGAAAGATAAGGAAAGAAATGGTGGAGGTGAAGAGCATTTCCTAATGCTTGAAAATTAATTGGGTCGAAATACTTGTGTAACTTTTGATGCATTTACTAAAAAGTTATTCATAAAAATTACATTCATGGTGCACATTAAATAATGCATAAGAAACAACTAATTCTAACTCAAAAAGAAAGACAACCTTCATTATTTTATAACTGCAACTTTACCTAAAGAAAAAAATAGCTAGTCATATATCAAAGGTCTCTTTTCTTATTTGTTAATAAACGTGACAGAAGCACAGGGTACAAATCCAATGATATATTGAAGTAATTTTAATAATGTTTGATATCTTATTCACCCTACTAATGTTATTGTGATTTAAATTCAAAACACGTGTTGTAGGTTGGCCCATTTAAAGGTTATAGGGTAGAACCGGTTTTAAAAATAAAATTGACAGTAAACAGAAAATTGCTTTAGTCTTTTTCTTTTGTGATAATTTACGGCGAAAATTGGATCTTAGTAGTGTTAATTTTTCCAAAATCTCCCGATACGCTGGTAGGAAAAAATGTATTTGACAAACCTTTGTTTACCTTATATGGCTATTGTTATAAATGCGCACACAGGATCTTACCACCAATAATTGACCAATCATTGAATGAATAGCAACGTTAACTTGACACCTATATGTTAACATTTTACTTCGAACACTTGGTTCAACTCAATCTACGATCGATATTAAATGGATTGCAAAAAAAAAATTAGAGAAAAATGTTTAAATGAAAAAATAGAAAGAGTAGAAACTATGAAAGATGCCACGGGCGTTTGTAATTTGTTATTATTTGTTATTTAGGCATTTAAGCAGTTAAATGGATCACAAAGGTTTTTTTTCATATTACAATACCCATGATCACCTGTAATTTTTGGTCAGGGAACCCACCTGACAATTGTATTCACCGATAGTACAACAAAGGAATGCAGACGAAAATCGCCTTACAGTATGATTTCGAGAAACCTGGAATTCCACGTTTATTTAACATGTTACAAATGAATTGTTTGTAATTGTTACCATGGAAATAACAGAATAAAAACGGACAGCATGGAAATGCATGCAAATGCATGGAAAAAAATTTCAATGTGCCTTTTCAATCGCCTTGTTTTTCTTTTTCGAACGTAAAATTCCTGTAGTAACTCACAATGCAATTCAACTCATGCAGATTAAGCTATATTGGTACCTCATTTGCTAATCTAACGCCAAAAATATAGTCCCAGTTCCCATGCAAGCATGTTTGTCCAAAAAGAAATTTTAATACATAAGTGCAGAAAATAATGTCATGAAGAAAATTTATTGACGTTTCAATGAATTCAAGAGAGATTGAAGTACATTTCTACAGATATTACTCAGCAGTGAAAAATGAAACGCAAGATAACTTTCTGTTACCATGTCTACCATGTCTCCACGTGCTAGTCACTTCCTAGCCACATTTCCGTGAATAATTTACCTTATCTCAAGGACACGAACAATAGAAATTGTCAAATTTTCGGGACGCCCTGTCCCTTCCTCAGGACATAGAAAAGGTTTTTTTTTTTTTTTAAATCATGAAAGAACAAAACAAAAACATCTTTCACTACAAATACGCTACCAATTCCTATTTATTTAGACTTTTACATGTTGAATTTTGATATTGAAACTAATAAATAAGAAATGAATCCGGACCACCGCGAGGCACTTCCGCACAGGTCAGTCTCGTATACTGTAGCGATGTGTGATTTAAATAAGCGACCGAATTAATTAACATTAATTAATCACTGCGAGATGTACAATGTTGTATTCTCTCACATAGTATTTTTACATAAAGATATAGATAATGAAACAAATAATAATGAAGGAAATTGAATACGAGTAGAACAGAATTAGAAGAAAACTAATGATTTAAGAACCCTATAAAAATTTGAAATATTTATTTAAAACGTTTGACTAATAATCATAGCATTTTAAAAAAGAAGATAATTAAAAAAATATATAAATTTATTGGGTAGTAATAGATATATGGAGAGAAAAGTCTTGATCGATATCACCAACATTTTGGCCTAACTCATGTTCATCCTAGTGAAGTCATTTAGTTTGTTAATACCATCAGGGCGGAATGAATTCAGCCTCTGCATCCAAGCCTGTGCATCCAAAATTTTTCTTTGCTTTTTCTCTAAGCATCGGTCCATTTTGGATTATGTTCAATAACCACTAATGTCATGTCCTCCCATTTGTGACCTTCAAGCTTGAAATGTTCCCCAACGGGTTCATTGACTCATTTGGTTTTAATGGTCGAACGGTGATTATTGATCTCCCGTTTCCCCAATATACTGTTTGGAACAGTTTTTGTAATTAGATACCTTAACAGTAAATTTGATAGACTAACGGAAGGTGTTGACATATATATATATATATATATATTCGGGCTCGGTGAATATTGTACTCCTCACATGTCTAAATCATCGTATTGACCTCAAAAACCAGCAATAATTGTATAATATACGAGGGGTGATCAAAAAGGTCGCGAACTATCTCTATATTTACAAAACCACTATTACATCAGAATGAAATTTTGCACACATATAGTAATAAACATGTTCTATAAATAGTAGATGTTACGTAATGTTTTGCTCCATGTTTGTGCCGTCATAATGTGAAAATGACGTCAATATACAGATAACTTGTGACAAAAAATGGCTGACTCAGTCGTACTCGAGTAACGAAAGGCTGTAAAGTTTTACGTTTTTCTTGGAAATTCCTTTGCAGTAGCATATAATAATTTGTACAAGTTTTATGAAGACAAAAGACTTGCCAGAAGTTCAATCACTTATTTGATTGATTGTTTTAGTGATGGAAGGGAGATGGTTAAAAATGATGTTTGTTCTGGTGCCCAGTGAAAGTAAGCTGGGGAAGGGATGTGTCCTTAGTTGAGCAATATGTTATGAAAGATCGCGATGTTACAGTAAGAAATATAGTTAAAAATCTTAAGAATTTCACAATTATTAAATCCCTAAGATACTGTTTACTTTAGACTTTAAACATGTCAGATACGATAAAAAGAAGGCGTCCATACTTTATCCACAATGGAAAAACGACACACCAAGACAGAGAAGTCGGGTTGTGATTGTCACCATGCTCATTTTGGGAAAAGACATCCTTATCCACCCATCCTATTGCCAAAATTTGGCCATTTGTGTCATATGGACTATTCTTGTTTCAAAAAATAACTTTCATGTAAGAAATAAGACTCGGAAAAATCTTTAACTTCTGTTACAGAACGCTGCGGAGCATGTCACGTGACCGCCTGGATCAAGTGATTCGCGCAAGGGCAGAACGGTGGCATATGTGCATCAAAATCGGAGAGGACTACTTTAAAAAATAATAAACACTGAAATCTAATTTTATTTATTTTATGGAAGTTATTCAATTAGTTCGCGAACTTTTTTATTTCCCCTCGTATACGAGGGTTGTCCCAGAAGAACGCCAACTTTTTAAATATTTCATAAACTACCTGATCAAATTTTATTCCTTTTTCGTACAATGTTGGGAAATGATATTTTCGTCAATTTGACCAACTACTATAAGGTTGGAATGTCAGTAATTTAGAAACAGCATTTAAAGGGTGTTAAATATCTGTAGTCGGCGCATGGCAATTTCTTGACTTTCAAAATTAGCATTGCCATCTATGTTTTCTTGATTACAAGGCTATGCGGAAATATAATGTGACAAAAAAATACGTCCATAAAAACTGTACGATCTAGAGCACCCGTGTGTTAAAAAATTAATATTACATCATAAATAACAAAATATGACGTTTTAATTTATGACCAAACACTATTCGTTAGCTATTGTCAAAAAACGGCGACTCAGGCGATAATGCGGCGCACCAAATTATCACTCTGTACTGTGTGGAGGAGGGCCATAAGTCCTGTTCATTAGGGAAAAGAGCTGGGAACGAGGGAAAGACACAAATACATGTATCGAACACTGGTTTATAAATAGTGAAAGAGGTTCAAAGATAGATGGACTGGTTTTTCGATGGAAGAAGCGTTTGATAGATCAACAAAAATGACGGAAAACTGAAAATCTAGAGCTGGACATCATACGTGGAGACCGCCGTTAACTATGCGAGCATTTAAGTTCATGATCGGGGTTTGGATATTTTCTATTAAAAGAATTTATTCTTTGATTTATTCTTAACTATAGTTCGTGTGAAATAGATGACTCGGTAACTAAAAGAAAATCAAATGCAGTATCGAATTTCTGCTTCAAACGAATTTTTAAAGACGCACGATTCCTGAACAAATTCAAAAACACCACGAACTACGTATTGACGTCGTCGTTGTTGAGCCGGGGGCTATTTAGAATGATTCGTTTATCAGAGAGAAAAATGTTATTTATAGAGATATTTTATTGAAATTTCTGTGAATTATGTAACAAATGTTAATTATGGTGCATGACAATTTTTAACTTAATATAAGTGAAATGAAAATTATTGATAAATATTGTTTTTCTGCGACAACCCTCGTGTATATATATATATATATATATATATATATATATATATATATATATATATATATATATATATATATATATATATATATATATATATATATATATATATAAGGGTTGTCGTACATGTATATAACCACATGTGAGGACACTTTCCAGGATGGTCCGAAGATAAAATAACCACATGTTTTTTTTTTGTTTTTGTTTTTTTTTTCAAAAGCTACAATGAATGTTTTAACTAACACTTGAAAGATTTAACATAATTAAGTTATTCTTTAGATGGA